TACTGACATGGTCTATTTTTATAACACTCCCTTCAAGCCTACACCCCAGCTTCCATTGAAGTGGGGTGGGTGGGGAAGAAATAGGACTGGAGTAACGCCTCCTAGCTCCTAAAAACCTCCAAACTGCTTTTGGGAGCACCTTAGGTGTTTCTTCTCTGTAGCTGGTTTATACATAACATTTATAATATATATTTACCACAGACACATCAATACAACATTTCATCATTTTGTACAAGCAGCGCTTCAGGTAGTTAAAACATTTTGAAGAGTGGCTTACGGGAAAGGAAGGAAAACAATTCTTTTTGGGGCTTGTCCTGCCATGAAATGGTAATCTGCATGCTTTGGGTCTTGCAGAAAATAGGTGACCAAAGGGAAATAATGACTTTTACTGTTGAAGACCACAGAGTCCGAAACACACAAACCCTCACAGGCTGCCTAGCCAAAAGAGACATGTGCCACTTGGGGGCGGGAGGGTGGTGTGGTGTGGTGTGGTGGTCATGTTTGTAATTTATACCCTGTCATGTTTGTAATTTATACCCTGTTATCTTTTGATGTTACAGATCTCTAATGTATACACTTTCTTTTTTCCACCAGAGTTACTTGAGGGACATAGGTGGCAGGAATAAGGTTAAGGACAGAATATAGAACCAATGGCACGTGCTTTACTAACATCACAAGAAGAGGCAAAGCTTAGCTTGAGGGTGTTTTCTAGAGTTTCTATATACTCTTTTAGATGAAGCCAGTGTATCAAGTTTCTCATCAGTATGTGCCCCCCCACCAAAACCACAAAATCCAGCTGAAGCTGGGCTTATATAATAAACCTTTTTTGTGGGGGAGGCTTAAGTGAGGGCTAAGGCTTGGCTTTGAAGCCAAGACTGGGTTTGTACCATTTCTTCAGTCTGCCTTCCTTGGTGTCAGTTTCAACTCATAGGGCACTCCAGGCTCTCTTCTTGTGGGAGCCAAATGAAAGAAGTCCTTCTAGACTGTTCATCTTTATGGCACACCCTCCAGAGAATTTCTTCAGAATCCTAGGTCTTGCTCTCATTGGGTTAAATTGGTTCATGTTCCATTCTCGTTTGTGGCCAGTGGAATCAGACATGGTATTTGCCTAGAATTGTTTATGGCCGTCCCCTGATATGGGGGATAGGTCCAGCTCTGTGATAGCTGTGTGACCGAGAACAGGGAAAAATGAGTTTTGCTTTTATTGCTGGGAGAAGAGGGTAGAAGCTGAGGAGATGACCAACAGATGAGCACTAGTCATGACAGCATTTTTATTTATTTTTATTTTTTAGAGTCAGAATCTCACACTGTCACCCAAGCTGGAGGGCAGTGGCATGATTATAGCTCACCATAGCCTCAACCTCCTGGTCTCAGGTGATCCTCCCACCTTAGCCTCCCAGTACCTGGGACTACAGGTGCACACCACCATGCCCAGCTAAGTGTTTGATTTTCTGTAGAAATGAGGTCTCACTATGTTGTATAAGACTATTGCAAGGCTCACCCACCTAAATGGGTAGGTATCATGTGTTCAATCTTTTTTTTTTTTTGAGTGGAGCCTCGCTCTGTTGCCCAGGCTGAAATGCAGTGGGACACTCACGGCCACCCCAGTGTTGATCTGCTGGGCTCTGGCGATCTTTCTGCCTCAGCCTTCCAAGTAGCCGGAACTATAGGCATGCACTGCCATGCCCAGCTAATTTTTTGATTTATTGTAGAGCCGAGGTCTCACCAAGTTGCCTAGGCTGGTCTCAAACCCCTGGGCTCAGGCAATTCAGTCTCCTCAGCTTCCCAAAGTGCTCATGTTCAATCTTTTTGTATGATTATGATCTTTCTATGATTTCTTTGTTTCTTGATTCTTCTTGTTTCAAATATTCCTTTTATAAAAACACTTTAGAACACTTTTGTATAGGTAGTTAAATCAAATATGCATCAAAACGAAATCTTAGTTCAGGTAAAGAGAATGTAACAATTTCTGCTTAAGGGGGATATTTAGTCGTGGTCCTGAGTCACTTTTGAACACCTGTTAGATTTCTGTGTTCCAAATGTTGTAGGACAACTGTTGGCATGTCCTATTTTAGCCACAGGTATGTTTTCTTTTCAATGCTGGCCCAGCAGTTTCATTGACTGACATGCCTGAATGTCCAACGTTGTGGGTGTGACTTTAGGTGAAGGCTAAGGCTCAGCTCTGGAGCCAGAACTGGGTTTGTACTGTTTCTTCAGTCTGCCTTCCATGGTGTCAGTTTCAACTCCCAGGACTTAGCAGTTTGTGATTTTGTGTCTCTTGAAAAATGAGGAAATAACTGACTGAGTTATTTCCTCTATTTAGGGCCCATTGGCCTCTCCTGGTGAGACACAAGCTTTACTTGCTGTCACTGCCAGCTTCCCCTGTGTTCTTACAGCCGTGCTGACATCACCTTTTTTGCTACAGCAGGCACTGGTATTGTCAGCCACGCTGGGCGTCCAGAGGACTGGAGGGGCTGCACCATGGCTTTTTATACAGAAGGACCTGGGAAGTGTTCCCCGTTGCCCACCTGCTCTAGTGCTGGTGACTTCTAGGAACTTTTGTTACCAGAATGCTCTGCCACTTGACTTTACTCCAGACCTGAAAGCTCTAACATGTAGTGACTGTTACCCAACTGTTGCTTTGCAATACCCTTATCTGCACTGCATGTCGTTTCCTGAAGAATCTCCCTTTCCCTTCGTGAGGCTGCTTTAGCACGTGAGGTGCTACTCACCTTCTCTTTTATACCTTCATTTTTTACTGTGGCCTGGATAAAACCCTAGTATTTGCTCATTTGTTCTGGCCAAAGGGAGTCGTGAAGAATAAACAAAGCTAGAATTTTTTGCAAACGTATTTAGCCAAATAGTTATAGCAAGCTTAGTTTATCCAGCACATTTATGATAACTCAGTGACTTTTTGGAGAAGGGGGTGTGGTGGTGGTGAAAAGAGGCTGTCTGATCTAGAGTTGGGAGTTGTTAGGGTGGTGACAGATACAGAGGGTAAAACCTTGCCAGTTATCCCTCAACTGGGTGTGTTTTCTGAGTTTTGCCTAAAATATGATGAGGTCCTACAGCATATGAAAGACTAGTTTTGAAATGTCAGTGCCAAATAGAACTTTTGAATTCTCTATGTGACTATCTTCCTTATATTACCTTGTGAAATTGAACGTAAAAAGAAACCACCTATGTCTCGACTGTGGGGAAATCTGGTAATGTTTTCTCATGTGTGTTGATTATTAAGAAAACAATTGACAGTACTAAAAATAATTTCTTTATTAGTATATATGCAGTCAAGCCTCAAATAGAAGCAAACATTACCTGCAAAAACTCTTGGGAAGAACGTTTGAAAGATGGGCTGAATGTCTTCTAGCCAGTTAATAGCAGAGGAATAATACCGTTTTGATAACTCATAAGCCAGCAACCATATCCTATGCTCTACATGTTAAATTCATTTGTTTTTCAGACAACATGATGTGTGAATTTTCATTTTATGTGCAGTTTCCCACTTATTATTTACATTTTTGATTTTTGAAATTAATATTCTTTTTCAGAAAACAGTCTCCCCGGCAGACCGCAGGCACTTTTGCTGCTGTCTTGCCTGTTGTGGCCTTCACAGTGTACCTGTCCTGGTGAATAATTTTACCCTGGTGAATCCAGCCTACCTAACCTGCCATAGCAGGACCCCAAAAACAACACACTGAAAAAAAGCCATGGACTTAATACCTTTCTGTTTATGAGGCTTCCAACATATACCTAGACGTGATTTGGAATAAAAGGACTTCACAGTTAAAAATAAAAGAAAACTGTGTCCCTCTGCCACTCCTAAGAGAATAATACATGTTTTGGGGTGTGTGTGTGTGTGTGTGTGTGTCTGTCTGTCTGTCTGTCTGTCTGTCTTTGTCTTTTTCTTAATCGTCATATTTTTTCCCCATACTATCACATAGGACATTGCTGGTGACATGCGCCAATATCTAGTTTCTCAGAGTAGAGACCGCTTAAAGATATTCCATCACCAGAACCCTAGGCTCATTAAATGGCTTAATAAGTCTTTGTATAAAATATATTTTTCATGTATCTATTTTCCTCAAAATGCTATCAGGATTTTTTTTTTTTTTTTGCCAAGTACATAATTTATATCTGTTTCCCTTTGCAGTGTCATAACATAAATCAGCTAGGGGTTTCTTAAGAAATTTTCTCAGTGTCTGCTTATCATACTTCAAATCAAAAGAAACTGGTCCCTACAAACAGGCCTCTTGCCCTTCCTCAAACGGTACCAGCTTTTAAGTTGGTCTTTAAGAACCCTGTTTAAAAATATGACACACTAAACTTGATTCTTGTGTTTAGAGAAGGAAGACAGCTGTGTGACTTGTCTTTGATAATTTCTTGTGTTCTTTATTTACTATTTAAAGTTATACATTAAGTGACCAGACTAGTGATTATAAACTTAAACCTACTTTCTTTGGTGGAATATGATTGAATAAATATATACATTAAAAAAATTAATTAACAAGGGAAAAACAAGTATTAAGGAAGAAACCTACTGATGAGTACTTTTTTCTTTGGTGTTACAAAAAATATGGAAAATTGGAGGTTTGAATTCTATTACTGTAGCAAAACTGGATAATAATGCTGGAGATAATACTTACGATCATGGACATATTTCTTTTTTCTGTTCTTTTTTTGAGTGTGTGTGTGGGGTCTCACTCTGTCACCCAGGCTGTAGTGCAGAAGCGTGAGTACGACTCATCTCAGTCTTGACCCCCTGGAAGCTCAAGCAGTCCTCCTGCCTCAGCCTCCCCCAGTAGCTGGGCTACACGCACATGCCACCACGTCCAGCTCATTTTTTAATTTTAATTTTTTGTAGAGACGAGGTTTCCCTATGTTGCCTAGGCTGGTCTCAAATTCCTAGCCCCAAGCCATCCTCCTGTCTCCCCCTCCCAAAGTGCTGGGATTACAGTCATGAGCCACTGCGCTACCCTCAGGCACGCTTTTTAAAATTCTTCTTATGTAATTAAAGATGACGACATGCATACATGGCCTTTATGTGAAAGAGGGTAGGTATTCACAGAGTATCTGTGCTTTCGAGCGTTGTATTTCCTCTTTTAGTCTTGGAAGTGTCTAAGTCATTCTGAGCTTTTAATGGGATGTGCAGTTTCTTACATAAGATTTCCCTAAATGGCTGGCAGAGAAAGAAATAAATAATGGGGTCCAGGCAGACATTTGCAGCAGACAGAAGCAGAGTGAATTCTTTCACGTAGAGCAAGATTTCCTTTGACTGGCAGCTGTAGTGCGCTTCCGTCTGACTCTGTGTGTAGGGGATCCTGGCTATGTGGTAAGGCACAAAACAGACGACAAACACAAACACGATGCTGAAGATGTTGCGGCTAGATTTCTTTCTGACCGAAGTGGAATTCTTTCTGGACCTCAGGTGGGACTTAAAGATTTTCCTGGTGATAGCAGTATAGAAAACGATCAACAGAAGAAACACAACCCAGAAGATGCCCACGAAGAAGTAGTTCGATGCTTTGTGCCACTTGCGGCCCAGCTCGTTCTTCAGGTCCATGCATTTAATGTGCGCCTCCTCCCTGACGCTCTGGTTGGTCAGAATGATGTTGGGAACCGCGAGCAGGAGCATGAGCGCCCACACCGTCACCGACAGGAATTTGCTGTAATTCACCGACTGGATGAGAGAAGTCAAGAGGGGCTTCACGATTTTGTAATACCTGTCAAAGCTGATGAGCCCGAAGAACACGATGCTGACGTACATGTTGACGTAGAAGAGCACGGCCGAGACCCTGCACACAAACACGTTCAGCTGCCAGGGCCCGAGGCCCGAGTCGCCGAGGATCTTGAAGGGAAAGGTCAGGCTCATCAGAAAGTCGGCAACAACGATGTTCTTGAGATAGACGATGAAGCTCTTGGAGCTGGGCACGTAGAAGAATATCCACCCCGACACTCCATTGAGTAGGATTCCCGCGATGAAGACCAGGAAGTACAGCACAGGGATAATCTGCTTAGTGATCAGGGTGTTCCGGGAGCAGGGCCCGTCTGGAGGCTGTGTCCCCGTTGAGTTGATCATCTTGTAACTTCTCAAGGCCAAGGCCTGAAAAGAGATGTGAACCAGTCACTCCAAGGGCAGTTTTACAGCCTCGAAGTCATTTGCTGAGCAGTAAAGAAAGGGCAATGAATATAGTCAAATCCACCAAGTTCTTTTTTTTGAGTGGGCGGGGAGGGGGTCCTCACTTTTTTTTTTTTTTTTGAGTTGGGAGTCTCACTCTGTCACCCAGACTGGAGTGAAGTGGCCGCTCCCGGCTACCGCAGCCTCGATCTGCTGGGCTCCGGCGATCCTTCCGCCTCAGCCTTCCAAGTAGCTGGAACTACAGGAGTGCGCTACCACGCCCAGCTAATTTTTTGATTTATTGTAGAGATGAGGTCTCACCAAGTTGCCCAGGCAGGTCTCAAACCCGTGGGCTCAGACAATCCACTCACCTCAGCCTCCCAAGGTGCGGGATTACAGGCTGAGCTGCCGAGCCTGGCTGGGGGTCTCCCTTTGTTCCCCAGGCTGGAGTGCTGTGGTGCCAACATGGCTCACCACAACATCAACCTTCTCGCCTCAGGTGATCCTCCTGCCTCAGCCTTATGAGTGGATGGGACAACAAGCATGCCACCACACCAGGATAATGTTTTGATTTTTTTGTAGAGATGGAGGGTCTCGAACTCCTGGGCTCTAGCAGTCCTCCCACCTCGACCTCCCAAAGGCTGGAATTACAGGCCTGAGCCACTGCACCTTACTGAACCCACCAAGTTCTTGAAACTAACTTTTTCCTTTATGTTAAGTTATGCAAATTTGGCACGCCTTCCTCTGTCCCTCCCTCCCTCCCTCCCTCCCTCCCTCTTTCCCTTCCTTCCTTTCTTTCCCCTTTCCCTCCCCTGACCCTTTTCTTTTGCAATGAAAAGGAAGCAGAGAGATGACGGTAAAAAGAAATTGGTGAAGCAGAATAGTCTGAGAACTTTAAGGTAATATGGAGACTAGCATTTCCCTAAAACTCCAGAATTCTAGGAAATAGTCGTATTTAAATGCAGTCTTAAAAAGTAATAACTGTAAAAGAAGAATCTATCTGTTTCATTTTAACTTCATGTTTAATGTATTGTGTTTTTACCTGTGTTGGAAATGTGACTTTTTTTTTCCTAAAAGAGAACTTTTTATTTATAAAAATGGCCTTAAATGTTTACATATTATTTTAAAGAGTTACTGAGGCAGACCTTAAAAAAACATACCCTACATATATTATGGTTGTAAGACACTGTCTTTCAAGCATATATAACTGGTATTTTTTGGTATGGGATCATGGGTACCTTTTCAAAATTGAGGCTGTGTGTGTGTGTGTGTGTGTGTGTGTGTGTGCGCGCATGTGTCTGAGTTGGAGTCTCACTCTGTGGCACAGACTGGAATGCAGTGGCACACCCCCGGCCACTGCAGCCTCGATCTGCTGGGCTTTGGCCATCCTTCTGCCTCAGCCTTCCAAGTAGCCGGAAATACAGGCGTGTGCTACCATGCCCAGCTAATTTTTTTTGATTTTTATTGTAAAGATGAGGTCTCGCCAAGGGGCCGGGGGGGTCTTGAACCTGTGGACTCAGGCAATCCACTTGCCTCGGCCTCCCAAAGCGCTGGGATTATAGGCTGAGCCACCAAGTCTATAATCATACAACCAAGTGTATGTTTTCTTACTGGAAAAAAAATGGATTTGAATTGTTTTTATACATTGGTAAACAAACATAAATGATAGAAAAATGATATAAAAATTCTGGGAAATGTTTCCCAAAGTACATTCAAGAGCTGCACTGTCCAGTATGGTAACCCCTAGCCATATGAGCACTTAAATTGTGACCAATCCAGGTTGAGATGTTCTATACGTATAAAATGCACACTAGACTTTGCAGGCTTCGCATGAAGAAAACTTAAAATACCTTTGTATTTTAGATATTGATGGCATGTTGAAATAATATGTTAGGGATACCCCATTAAATAAAATGTTATTACTCTCAATGTCACTTTTTAAGACTATGGCTATTAGAAAATTTTATTATATGCAGTTATATTATGTTTTTATTAGACAGTGCTGTATTAGACATTGAACCTTCTATTGTTTAGAATCCTGTATATTCTTCACTGATGTCAGAAGTATTGATTTAAGGCAAAGGGAAGATCAGAATTAATTCAAAAGGTTATTTGATGCATCAGAGCAAATGTTTACTGCACATCGCATATATGAGTAATACTGGCATTCTTCTTAAAACGCTTTAGTATCTGTCTTTCCCCTCAGGATAAAGTCCTAATTCTTAAACGTTCAGATCCCTTCTTGGGCTGATTCCTGCCTCCTCTACTTCGAACACTGAGTTCCAAGACACTGCTGGTGGTATATTTTGAGCTCTTAAATATTGCCTTAAAAAAAAAACAACAAAATAGTGGTGTTGATAGTAAGAGCCTTTGTCCTGAGGGTTCAGGTGTCTTAGAGCATGACATCCTTTTCTACAGGGCAGTTCAGATCACTCATAGATTGAGAGATGATGGAAAAGAAGCTCTCTTAAGGCCGGTGAGGCCAGTTGTATCTTGAGACTGAATGGCGTGAGCATGTACTGGATGAAAAACAAGACAAGATTGTAAAAAAGATGTATCATTTTTGACCTTGTAATATCCGTTCAGTCTTTCTGCCTTATCTTTAGTGTAGACCTGATTTGATGTCCTGATACAGGGACCTAAGGACACTTCAAATCATTTCACAGATAGAGGAAATAGCCATATCTGGATGTTGATTATATACAGTGATGTACACACATAAGAACCAAATGAATCAGAAAGAAAATAATATCTTGGTATGGCCCAACAACCCTCTCTTTCTGCCCCAGCTTCTAACTCAGTTGATTCACAATTTATGCCAGTCTATTATGGATGAGGGATAGGCAATAGAGAATATAAGAAAAGAAGAAAAGGACTCCTGGATGATTTAACTGAAAAACATGGAGAGTTGGGCATTCTGGCAAACCAGTTTATATAGGTGTCCTGTTTGTGGAGTCCTGCTTTGTGATAGTTACTTCTGATATTATTCTTGGATTTCTCAAGTGAAAGTGGTCATTATGTTAACCTTCAGGCTTTAAAAATATTAACAGTGCTCTTTAAATTCTAGAGATTGCATTTAAAAAAGATTTATATATGTGGTTAGACTTTTTAAAAAAATACTTAACAGTGTAAACCTTTAAGTCTTCCTTGTTTCACAAATCCAGATAAATAAGAATGAAGTGTTTGAACCTATATCTACCATCACTTTGACGTCTTTGGTAACATAAGGCCAGGCTGGGTGCAGTGACTTAAGCATGTAATCTCAGCACTTTGGGAGGCCAAGGTGAATGGATTGTCTGAGCCCACGGGTTCGAGAACAGCATGGGGAACTTGGTGAGACCTCATCTCTACAATAAGTTTAAAAAAAAAAATTAGCTAGGTGTGGAAATGCATGCCTATAGTTCCGGCTACTTGGAAGGCTAAGGCAGAAGGATAGCCTGAGCCCAGTGTGTCGACGTTGGGGTGGCCGTGAGCATGCCACTGCACTCTAGCCTGGGCAATGGAGTGAGACTCCCAACTCAAAAAAAAAAAAAAAAAAAAAAAAAAAAAGAACACGGCCAAATGAGATTGATAAGGCCGAAAGACAACTATTGAAGTATAATAGGAGCATCATGTAGATTGTTTTTTGTTTTTGTTTTTGCACAGCTAGAATGCCAAAGCCAAATTTTCAATCTCACCCTAGATAGTGAGTGTCCTTGTCCCTCAGTGCAACATAAGGTTTTAGGATTGCACCACATTAAGTGTTTTCAAGTTGTCAAGTATTACATACAACCTAAGGGTTCTCTCTTTAGCCAGAATTTAATTGATACAGGGCCATGCAAAGCAATGCTCACTCCAGAAATACATTTATCTTAATAAAAACTTACTTAGTCTGCTCTGAATCCATTACTCATCTTCTGTGGAATTACACATTGTGACCCATTTTTCTGTTGCGTATAGACTACCTTCCACCATCTTAATTGTATGCAATAATTCTTTCTCTGAAGAGAAATTATTCTTTCATCGCATTTTGATGACATTAGCAAAGCTCTTGATAATACTTGAGAAATTTTTTTTTTTCCAATTACCTTTTATAATTTTTTGGGTGTAGTATGAGGTCTCCTTTCAATGAAGTAATTTTGTCCAGTGAGTGCTTGTCATCTTGAAGTAGCCACGGTGTTTCTTCACTAAGAATCCTGTATTACAGGAGAAAAACAAATACTTATGTTAAATGAGCGCCAGACTGTTTTTATTAGAGAAATATGTCTGTATGTTTTAGATTCAGCTTGTATAATTGTGAAACATTTCAACATATGCATTTGTTGTTGTATCACTGTACTTTCTCTTTGCTGTCAATATTGATGATTATTGATTTGGTTGTAAACTTCTGTGAGAAACTTAAATTCTTTGAGAGTGTTGGGCATTTGAGAGTGTTTTTGGTTATTAGTTGATACCACTTTGAGAGTGTTTTTGGTTATTAGTTTATACCTTTTTTTCTCTGTGAATATGCATGCTCAAGCCACTTCCTTAAGTTCCTGAATTTAACAAGTTATCTTTTTTTTTGAGTTGGAGTCTCACTCTGTTGCCCAGGCTGGAGTGCAGTGGCATGCTCACGGCCACCATGGCCTGGACTTGCTGGGCTCAGGTGATCTTTCCGCCTCAGCCTTTCAAGTAGCTGGAACCACAGGCACATGCCATCACACCCGAAATTTTTTGATTTATTGTGAAGATGAGGTCTCGCCAAGTTGGCCAGGTGGTCTTGAACCCGTGGGCTCAGGCAATCCTCTCACCTCAGCCTCCCAAAGTACTGGGATTATAGGAGTGAGCCACCATGTCCAGCCAACAAGTTATCATTTTAGAAAGGAAATCGCAGGTCTAATACATTAAAAAAAAAAAAAGCCTTTGTCCTATTGACATTTTGAGCCAGATATTTGTTGTTGGGGGCTGTCCTCTACATTGTGGGATGTTCAGCAACATTCCTGAATTTTACCTACTGGACACCAGTGGCATACTTCTCTCTCTCTACCCAGCTGTAACAATCAAACATGTTTGTGGACATTGCCAAATGTCCTCTGGGGGACACAATTGCTCTCTGTTGATTACCCCTGGCCTAATGAGACTAATGTGTGGACTTTACACAGATAACACCTAAAAGCTATGTTGTCTGCTAGGAAGGGGATAAGTTAGCAGAATGGTGATTGGATTTGATTCTGCTTTGGTCTAGGTTTACCTTTCTGAATTCTTTAAAACAGTGCCTCTCAAATTTTAATGCACATACATGTCACTTGGGGATCGTGCTAAAATGAGAACAGAGAGTCCGTGATATGCAGCTGGTCCAAGGACCACTCTTTTAGTATTTTTTTTTCAGACCTTGTATACAGGGGATATTTAGTAAATGGCAATGAGGGTGAAAGGTGTGTTTTCCTTTGCTGTAGTTGGGACTTTAGACAGGAAAAGCTTATATTCTATGTAGACCTGACATCTAGGGTCTGTCCCTGAGTTTATTCATTACAGATTTCATCATAATATTCCCATCCTTATGAATCTCACTTGTTCCTTCACCCAGAAGTAGGACACCACCTCTCCCCCCACCATCCCTACCACTTATCTTTTGTCATCTCTGAGAATGTTTAATGTTGGACACTTGCCACATTTTGCAGTAGCTCTAGGCTCAGCCAGGGGGAATTTCACTTCACTCAGAAGAAGGAGCTCCCCCCAAACTCTCCCCTTATCTTTCTTCATCACCCAGAACACTTAATGTTAAACACTCACCACATTTCTCAGAAGCCATCAGGGACATAAGTTTTGAGTCTGTTATCTTTTTCTCATGTCCTATTTCCTGACTTTCCTGCAGCATTAGATATTATTGATTTCCTCTTGTTGAAATCATTTCTTTCTAAGGTATACTGTAGCCCTTGGCTCCTGTATATTGTAGATCCCTGTCACTTCTTCCTTTGCCAAGACCTTTTGTTAATTCGCTCACTAAAGCCATCAGAATGTGCTTGCCAGGCACTAGGGAAATACACTGGGGAACTCTCAGGAAATTTCCAGTCTAGTGGGAGACTGAACAGGTGCAAACAAGGGCCATAATTGAAGGAGGAAGCAATAGGAACAGAGTGAGTACTTGTCTAGCTTCAGGAGTGGTGGTATCAGGGTAACTTTCCCTGGAGTATGTGATAATGAAAATTTACAAATGAGTTGACTTTAGCCAGGCAACAGGGAGGGGGTGTGTTTTGGGCAGAGAAAGTTATAGGAACATGGAGACACATGAGATATTAGCACAGTGGGGGGCCATGGATTGCCTGTGTTCTTGGATTACATGATAGACCCTTGCCAATGAGTTACTATTACCACCATTTTACAAATGAGGAAACCGACACTTAAAATGGTTAAGCAATTCACCAAAGTGCAGTTAACACATGGCCAAGATACATTTCAGCTCCAAGCCAGGGCTCCCCTCCTCCTGAGAGAACGTGGGGGCAGCGTCTTCTATGTGAGTGTGAGCATGATGAGCATGGACCCTGGCCCTTCAACATTTTGCTGGAGTTGCGTCTTTAGGCACCAACCATATTTGTTTTCTGGAAAGTTATGTGGGTACATGTGCATCGTTTGAGAATGTGTATGTCATTTTTTGATCTGAATTTTAAGGTTCTGTAAGGTATGGATGCCTGTAAGTTCTTCAGTTATCTTCCAGATAACTTCTCTATTCTCTACAGAATAGAGAACCTCCGTTTTAATTGCCACATCTCTAAAAGTGTCTAACATGAGTGTGTTTCTGGCTTTGATTTTGACTCAGCTTTCTCCTACCCTGATATTCAAGGAGACATATAGAATCAGACCATTCACAAATGGTGATGAAAACAAACTACATCGACCTACACATGATGGAGACTCTGCTGTGGGGAGGGACCCAGATCTGCTGCATGTGGTTTGAATGCCATACATGGATCCCCTGAGCCCCTGGCCTGAGGAGGGCTCTGCTGGCTGCTGTTTCTTGCCTTCTCAGCAGCTGTGATATTGGGATAGTTACCAAGTGCCTCTGAGTATCTGTTTTTACATTTCTAAATTGAGGGAGTATAGTAGCTCCCTCATAGGATTCCTGTTCTTGTAAGAATCAAATATCTGGTGCCTGCCAGGTGTCAGTCAGTGGAAACATTGGGGGAACAGAAAGTGACTCAGCTGACAACAGAATAAGCAAATACCTCTGGGACTCTCAGGCTCCCAGTAACACACATGCACCCACCCCCCCCCCCCCCCCCCCGCGCGCGCACGCATAGGCTCCTGCATGGTTTCCCCTGCTGCTCTGCTTTTCCTCAGGTAAAGTTCTTCTGCACGGAAATGCAGGGCTGCAGGAGACACAATAGACACAGTGCAGAGTGCTCTGAGCATCCTCCGTTGTGTGGTCCAGCAGTACTTGCGCAGGGGACAAATTGGGGGTGGGGGCCTTTGTTTCTGATTGCCCCTCACTGGTAGCCAGAGGAAGCAGCGGTTGCAACAGGGGTATGCGTGAAGGCCAGGTGTTCTAGCTCCTACCCGTTATCCACGCAAGCCTCATCTTTGATTAAGGTGGCATAAAGCTCTGCCTAACTCCTGCCTTCAGAGTTTTGGGAAGCCATTCTTGTCTCTGTCTGGAACTAGGTTGAGCCGTCTGGATTCCTGAATTTTTTCCAACTTGTTCTGCAGCATTGTTTTGGAATACAGGGCCCTATTCCCTGGGGCCAGGCAAGGAAATGAATCTTTGACCTCTTTTTGCCTCACTGAAATGGTGTTTGCCTTTCTCAGGCAAGCAGTGCTCACATCTCCAGATCATGGGGCTTTTATCCATTAGTGGATATCCATCCCTTTGCTGTGGAGATGGGGAACAGATTTCCATTTCTGTGAAGGCGACAGCTTTAACCACTTAGCTAAATAGCAACCACCTGTATGTTTGTTCAAGATTCAGGCTTATGGAGCCAAATGGAAAGAATATAAATATCCAGGACTTGAAGTGGGAGTGGAAAGATGACGCAGAGTGATTCCCATGCACTTATTAAACCATGGTGTTGTGACCTTTCTCCCTGTCTTGTGTATTGATCCCTGGTGCGTGTTCCATGATCTTTGAATAAAATATATTGTAACGATAACAACTTATGAATTGAACGATTTTTTTTTTCTTTTTCTCGCTGTGTTGTCCAGGCTGGTCTTGAACTCCTGGGCTCAAGCAGTCTCCCACCTTGGCCTCCCAAGACCTTGAATTGACCAGTTCTTTTTTTTTTTTTAGTTGGAGTTTCACTCTGTCACCTAGGCTGGAGGGCAGTGGCACGCTACTCATGGCCACCCCATCGTCAACCTGCTGGGCTCCAGCACTACCATGCCCAGCTGATTTTTCTTTTTTTTTTTAATTGTAGAGACAAGGTCTCACCAAGTTGCCCAGGTAGGTCTTGAACCTGCGGGCTCAGGCAGTCCACTTGCCTCGGCCTTCCAAAGTGCTGGGATTATAGGCTGAGACACCGAGCCTGGCCAAACTGAACAGTTCTTAAATGGATTTGTATTTTCTCAAACAGAGCATGTGACAACGGAACAACAATATTCATTTCAAATGTAGGATGTAAATGTGAAAGATGCATTTTTATATAGCCTGAAGATGGAGTTCAACGTACATTTGAAGTCAGAGACCTTTACTTTAGGAAAGTCTTTAACCCACAGGTTGGGATCTGATGTTGATTGAATACATGTGTCCTCCTTAAACCATTCCATTTTTTATAGTTCACCTTTTCCATGATTTCAACAGGAGTCAGTCAAGAACACTGTAAGAAGCTGGGCTTGGGGGCTCAGCCTGTAATCCTAGCACTTTGGGAGGCTGAGGTGAGTGGATTGCCTGAGCCCACGGGTTCAAGACCCGCCTGGGAAACTTGGTGAGACCTCATCTCTACAATAAGTCAAAAATTAGCCACGCATGATAGCATGCTCCTGTAGTTCCAGCTACTTGGAAGGCTGAGGTGAAAGGATCGCCGGAGCCCAGCAGGTCGAGGCTGTCCCGGCCACTGCACTCCAGTCTAGGTGACAGAGTGAGACTCCAACTCAAAAAAAAAAAGAACACTGTAAGAAAGTAGTCTTATGTCTTGCTATACATATACTCCAGGGGAACTATTAGATGCCATTTCATTATTTGCCTTAGATACAATATCTGTAATAATAATTATTATTATTTCTTTTG